AGTACATATGTACGTCCATACATTATCCTCCAACCATAACCATGCAGTTTAAACATTTTCCGAAACTAAGATGTCACCAAGGAAAAAATGATATACAAAATAAAAACAACGCAAATTAAATTTTTGTAAATAATTATTTTTCGTTCGCTTTTTATTAAGCATTTTTAAATAAAAACAATAATTCTTAAAAAATAAGGAAGTTAAAGGTAAAGTCTGAAATAAAATTCACAATTCAAACTTCTTTTAACTATGCTTTGCTTAAGTTAAAATCATATTTAAGGTATAGAAAAAGAAGTTGTTCGTAAAAATATAGTTTAAGGCAGAGCGCATAGTCAGGAAGATTAAAGCTAAAGCTTTCATCGAATGAGAGCTTCAAGCGTGCTTTCGACAATAAGCTCAATGTTAGAGCTAAAGCTAAATGAAAGCTTCCAGCTCGCTTTCGGCATTTAGGTAAAGCTTTCATCGAACGAAAGCTTCAAGCGTGCTTTTGATAATAATGGAAAATCAATTTTCTTATGCGTTCTGCCTTCTTGATACTTTCAAATTCAACAGACAAAAATTATTTATTTAAAAATAAATGTTTTCCTCATCTTTGTTCTAAATCATTTTATATGCTTTGCAAATTACTAAATATAAAATTTCCACTTTCGCTTAAACAAGTAGTTGGCATTATATGTATATATTTTTGATAACACATAAATTATTAAATAATGTAATAAACTTAAAACTTAATGTGGCTACATGCATGTTTTTACAATTTCTGAAAGGATAAGATATACCAAATAAATGAAAACCAAACGAAAACTCTTAGTTCGAGTATTATAATTAATTACATATATTTTCAAACAAATAAACTAAATTTATCGGCATAAGTAGGAAATTCTTGTATGGGCTTATGAAATAATTAATGGAACTTGCAAAACGCCTTATCTGTATGCATGGATTTATATATAACACTTCCTTGCATTTAATTTACTTTCAGCAGAAAACAAAATAGCATATTTTAAGTTGTGATTCGTATGCAAGTTTTTTTTGTCTAAAAGAAAATTATGAAAAATGGTAAATATTTAATTATGAAGAAACAGCTTATGCAAATGAGAAGACGGACTTGGTACTATGATCGAGGAAAAATAGGAGAGTTTCGAAAAGTTTTTTAGAGTTCCAATAACGGTTTATGCGTGGTGTAAGGTTGACTGCAGAAAACAATGCAATAGGAAGTGCACAAAGATATTGGTAGAGTTTGCCCATCTAAAAAGGTTAGACTTGTAAAAGCCAGGTAGGAGTTGGGCAAACGTATGAGGACTGCAGAGTTGCAGAGACAACGTGAAGATCAATATTTTCAACTTTTCTACGCAATTCGCTGTCAAACTGAGACAAATTTTATTTCTATGTGTGAACAGACAGAAAGACCTTCCTGTCACATTTCGGAAATCAGTTTCAGAAATAAATGTTGCAAGAGCGCAAAATCGATTTCTGAAATATATTTCAACTTGCTTGTGCTCACTAGCAATGTGCAATTCGTCTTTCGGAAATAAATCACCTCTTTCGAAAGACACTTTACATGTGAGGTGTGGACTGCTCATGCAACTGCTTTCTGAAATTTCTAACTTTTACAACTTTTTCGAAATATATTGCATTGCCACATCTGGCACGCTCTTAAGATATTATAAATTTTTTCAATAAGACAAAAAAGTGGAACAGGGGTGCAACTATCACAAGAAAAAAGTGAAGCACATAATTTGCAAGTGTCTAGCTTTCAGCAGCATTCGTGAGGGCTATTGGGCGAAGTCTAGCAACCTGAAATCAGCAAGCGACAAAAGGCCAAAGCCTTAAGTTTGTGAGCAACGGTTTATTGATCGTACTTATATGTATTTGGCAACACCATGGATTTTCTTTTCATGTACAATGTGAGGCCTTTAATGGCTAGCCAGCATACGNTGTTGCACATTAATAAGTGTTTTTTTTCGATTCTGGGACTATCACCAAACCTAATATAACCTAAGTTTTTTCGAGAAAAAATTACTAACCATAAGAAGGATAAGAAAAGTAAGACGTTTCCACGACAGACGCGCTAGATTTATATCTGAAAAAAAAAAACAAATAGATCCCAAAGCTGTTTTTGAAACTCTTACGATGTTAGAACAACAACAGAAAAAGTAATACAAAGACTGAGATGAAGAGGATATCACTAGGATAATGAAAAAGAGATTTCAAGATATCAACTTCAAGGAAAGTAATCTTGTGCTTGGTAAAACGAAAGCAAACGAAAATTCATTGCGATTCGCAGTAACTTTTACATTTCGAATGATTATTTTTTAATATAAAAATTATACGTTCCTACCAAATTTGTTTTTAGTACAATATTAAATTTTTAAAGTACTTTTTCTACGAAATATTAATTGTCTGCGATAAAATTTTTTGAATGACCTGAAAGCCTTTCTCCACTTTAATTTACCATTTTGGTTTAAGCTTCATATTAACTTTCAGAAAGTAGTATTTTTCATAGAAAAAAATTAAAAATTTTAATAAATTTTGGTTTTTTTTTATAGTAAACAAAAATTGTTTTGCTCACTTGTTAGAATTGAAAATTAATAGAAAACAGTCTATTTTATAGTTTTTGGCTATTTTCGTTTCATTTATTACTTTTTTATGAAATTGCACCTCGTTATTTGACAAAATCCGTATGAGTCAAAACTTTGTATAAAAATTGGCAAAATTCGACAAATTCTCATCAACATGTTGAGATTTTTAAATAGATTTCTTAGAAACATTCTGAGTACGCGGTTTTGTAGCCCATTCAATTTTAGTATAACCAAGTACAAATTAAGCACATATCTAGGATTTACCGTTGGTTTTTGGATTTTTTTTGTAGGAGGTATCTCCCATACAAAAGATTTGTCATGCTTTGGCATACTTTGTATGGAAGAAAATGCGCGAACAAAAAATGGTTAAAAATCAACGATAGCTACTTTAAACTCCCACTTTGTTATAAAGAAATTTAATGCGCAACAAAACTGAATCAAAAAAGTCAATCGGATTAAAAAGTTTCAAGTTTTGATGAACATTTGCTAAAATTCATAGCATTTTTTTTATAAATGTTCTACAAAGTTTGAAATTTTGATTTACTTGTTTTTTTTTTTTTAAATAATAGGCTATATCTTCATAAAAAATAATAAAAATTTTTTGAACAACGAAAATTAGCCAAAACACTTGCAAAAATGTCTCTTCCTTATTTACGTTCTCGCCACCGTACACATGTACATATGTACTTACATATTTTGTATATGTATGTTTCTAAATGCATGCTCTTTCAAGACTATATTCTTTTATTTAGCATAAATAATTTTTTTTGCAACATGTAATTAAATTTTGCATAAAATTAATAGCTTATTCAATTAAATTAATATTCAAGCTCTAATAAACACTTAAATAATATTCTATGTTTTAAATAAAATTCTATTAAATAATAATTCAGTATTTACATTTGGGTGGTTTTCGTATTTGCTCTGATTCGTTGGCATTTTGTTTTTCATTACTAATAATAATGTTTTTGTAATAAATGCATTTATACAGTTTTTTTTTATATTTACTTCAATTATATATAGTATTTTATTATTACTTTATAAAGTAATTGAGGGGTTTTTTTTCGGTTTTAACGAATAATTACAAACGCTACATACAATCACTTTAAACACTACAAATAAACATAAATAATATTTTACAAATGCTTTTAATTGCATTCTACTTTTTAACCTCCTCCATTTTTTTTTTATTAGAAATTTTACATGTGTTTCTGTGCATTCGTGTATAGTAGTATATGTAGTTATGTATTATTATTATTATTATTGTAATGCAATATGGCGTTGGCGTTTTTGGCAGTGGCAATATTTCTTAACCCCCTCTCCCCTGTTGGGCAGATGAAAGAAACAAAAGCGTTTTTTCTTTACTGCTTTTTACTACCTTTTGTCTGTTTTGTTCGTACGCATTTCATTAACATTTTTTCATTCGTTTTATGTTTTTCATAATTTATAGTACATTTAAAATATTGTATATCGCTTTGTTAGTGTGAAATATACTTATCTTCTTTTAAATATTATTATAAATCAGTCTATTTGAGTAGAGAATTGAAAAAACGAATTAGGAAAATGTGAAATGAATATGCGTTTACAAAAAAAAAAAAAATGTTTATAGAAAAATCTCTGGCGCGCGCATTTGATGTGCTTTTCGTATCTCTTTTTTCCTATTTTTAACACACTATTCACTATTATAGCATTATTTTGCTTTACATATTTTCACAATATTTATTCATAGAAAAAGGTGTAGCAAGTTTATGTCTCTGTTTATAAGCTATTGACTATTTCTTTTTGAATTCGTTTAGTGATATTTTATAGAAATTGTGCTTTGTTGTTGTCTGCTAAATAAATTTTTTTTTGTATTAAAGTGTTTTTTTTTTGTTTTAATTTTTTTGCTTTCATTGAAAATGGACTAGAATTATGAAGTTTAGCTTGCTTATAAGTATGAAGTTTATTACTTTAATACAAACTCTTTTTATTGCTATAATCATTCCTTTTATTTTTTAAATATATTTTTTACAACTATAAAATTGAAGAAAGTAATATGGCGACTTGTTTGTTGCAACTTTTCACTGCATGCTCAAACTTTTCAATAGCTTTAAAGCTCAAAAAATGCAACACTGTAAATGAGCGCAACACCTGCTGCACATACAAAAGCGCGTTTGTCGTATACTAATCCTCTCATGCTCACCCATTATAAATGCTCTTTTCATCCTTAACTTTATTCTTTCACGCTCTATGTCTACCTCCCTACCGTTATGCTACAATCTTTACACAGTTGCGCTCATTTACAGCTGCGAGAAACTGCTCGTGGACACCCAGTGCGCTGTATCTGGTCGTACCATTAACTATATAGGACCGTAGTCGCTCAGCGCCTGCCCGGGGTGTTGCGCGCCCGGCCCACCGGGCAACGTAACGACCACGGACACCGCGCGTGAATCGATCACCGAACCGGGTGCCGTACTTGGGCCATTCCCACCACCGCCATTGCCTCCACCTGGTCCCATTGGACCGCCAACACCACCGCCGCCATTGCCATTGCCATAAACGCCAGGCATACTCATATTACCAGGCGTTCCGACGCCGATGCCACCGCCACCGCCACCGTGCAACATACTGCCAGGAGGAGCCCCAACACCAACACCAACACCGCCGCCAACCGTACTATTGCTCATACCCGCTGTGCTCATCAGAGTACCGTGTCCGCCCAGCATGCTGCCACCGCCAATTGTACTGCCGCCGCCGCCGCCACCACCAACGCCACCGCCCATGGTTGAAGCTCCGCCTGACTCTCCATGTCATACGTGGCTCGCTGCCGGTTGCTTAAGAACATGATGGTGCAAATGGTGGTGACTGGTGGAAGCCACCGATGCGCCGCCCGCCTGTGTATATGGTGTGGCGAGCAGCGAACCAGCCGCGGAGCCGACGGGCATACCCATGCCAGAGCCCGCATACGGATGCGGTATGGGCGGTCGCGGTTTAATGAGCGCCTGATTGGCGCCGGTGCGATCAGGTGCGCCGAATAGTCGACGCCAAAAGCGACGCCAACTTTCCAACGTCTTACCAGACCAGATCCAAACGCCCGATGTAATGCCAACAGCCAATGCCATAAAGTACTTGAGCATAAGCACTGAGTATAGTGGTTTCTTGNCTTTCCAACGTCTTACCAGACCAGATCCAAACGCCCGATGTAATGCCAACTGCCAATGCCATAAAGTACTTGAGCATAAGCACTGAGTATAGTGGTTTCTTTCCAGGTCCTTTCACCTGGGCACACGGGCATGCGAGCGCTTTGATCCAGTCTTCGAAGTAGGCGGCTTCATACAGGTAGCATCCGATTACGATGGTTGCGGGGACGGTGTAGAGGACGGAAAAGATACCAATACGTATCATAAGCTTTTCCAATTTGTCCGCCTTAACGCCGGCGCCGACGCCGCCTTGTTGCTTGATTACAGAGCGTATGCGGAAAAGTGAAACGAAGCCTGCCATCAGAAAGGTGGTGCCGATGACGAGGTATACAAAGAGCGGTGCCAGCACGAATGTCTTTAGATGATCCGGATTGAGATTGCCAACATAGCAGATGCCGAGTATGGGATCACCATCAACAGCTGAAAGCAGCAACACGGCCACCGATTGTACAGTGGGTATGAGCCAGGCGGCCAAATGAAAATATTGCGAGTGCTTGGTGATGGCTTCATTGCCCCACTTGAGGCCCGCGGCCAGAAACCAGGTAAAGCTGAGTACAACCCACCAAATCGATGAAGCCATGCCGAAAAAATACGTGAGTAGGAAAACCATCGTACATGAGTGTGGTCCGGTCGAACTCTCCCGCAGGTAACGTCCGTCGCAAGCGATTTCTTCATTCTGCAGAAAATTTTTCGATAGATAACCGACAGCGACCATAAAGTAGCAGGCGGAGAGAAAGACTATCGGTCGCTCGGGGTACTTAAACCTTTCGGTGTCGATGATGAACGTGGTTAGCGTCATGAGGGTGCTGCAGAAGCACAGACCCGACCACAGGGCTATCCATATGCCGGCGAAGTCCTTTTCGTCGTTTGTGAAGAACGGGCCCTTGCAGGGAATCGCGCAATTTGGAACGCCGGCGATTCTTTGTACAGTTGAATTCATGTACCATGGGTAGTGCATGTGTGGTGGCTGCATCAGCGCTTCCTTCCCCAGGAGCAGGAGTGGTTTGAGACACGAGCACGTGCAATCCTTTGCGTTTGTTCTTTCTCCTAGGGAATTTTGGCAGTTTTTTGAATTTTTGCCACCTTTGCATTTCTGTGAACCCGAACCACCAGAACCAGACTGCTTGCGTTTACCACCGCCGCCACTACCACCACTGCCGCCAGAGCCGCCCGAACCGCTGCCTGACGAACCGCCCGCACCACCACTGCCCGACTCCGTATACGAAGGCTGTTCCATGCAGAGATTCTCAGGATCGCCATGCAGCGGCAAATGTTCACAGGCCATGCGTTCTGGCCATTGGAAACTATATTGCTGCATAATGGGCGCACAACCAGCACGTGCACGCTCACAAACCGAACGACAGACGGGCAATGGTTTGTGGTAGTCTTCCAAGCAGATGGGTGTGTACATGGAACAGAGGAAAAATTTCAAATCGGGCGAGCACTTGATCTCCACAAGCGGCCAAAACTGATGCACTTCCAGACCAGCTTCGTCCTGCGTCTCGTGATTCATTTCGTTCGGAAAGGACGTCATATTATAGCCAATACCACGACACATTGGTATAGTGATCTCTTCGCAGCGAGAATTCGGATCCTTTGGTATGGCGGGCAGACCATAGCCCGGCGCGGGACTCACATCCAACGCATGGGGACCCATGCCAATGCCGCCACCGCTGTCCGCCAAATGCTGCATACCGTCCGCATGGCAGTTGTGTCTGTGTAGCAGGAGCACGACGCTGAGGACGAGGACTGAATTGCATAACGCTTGCGGATGCCGTCGCGTCGCAGTGTGTCTGTGCGCCATTGTGCGAGACATGACTTCTGTGTATTTGTGTGTTTAATGTAATTTGAATATGTGGTTTGCTAATGCTTCTCGGACAAGTAAGTCGCGCTAAGCTGTATGTGAAAGTCCACAGCTGTTACGCTGAAAGCGTAGATAGACTTCGAGTTATTGCGCTACGGAAAGCTTCAGCTACTTTCGAAAGGCTACAGCTGACTAAAGTTGAGAGTTTAGTTGAGTGGTGAATATATTGAGCTGAAGAAACGCTCCAGGCGCGCTATATTACCGCTTAAACCGCAGGCGCAGCACGTTGTCACATCAGCGGCTTGCAACAAACAAAGGATAACTGCAATGAGAAGAAGGGAAATAGAAAAGTGAAATTAATAAATTTGCCACAGACAGGAAGAGCAGGGGTAAGTGCTTAAAAGTGGTAGGTACATATTTGTTATTATTGTTTTCTTAGTAACCGCAAACGATTAGTCTAAGTTTTGCGCGGCTAGTGCGAATTCTCCCCAGGGGATGTCCACAAACAATTGATCCTAAATCAACAAAAACCTATTAAATATCGACGCGCAAAAACACAAGCGCACTTCCGAAGATAGCACG